AGAGAGAGAGAGAGAGAGAGAGAGGAAAAAAGAAAGAAAAAATAGAAATCGTATAACGAAAATTAAAAATATTATAAGAAGAATTTCTAATTTCAGAAAGTAGAAAATCTAGTAAATTGGAAAGCAATGGTTATAAATTGTGGGGGTAATATATATATATATATATAATAACAAACTAAGAGAATTAGCCAATAATGATTAAGGATTGACACGGTGAAAAATATTGGAAAGCTATGATATCGAAATGGTGTGGATGAGCGAACATAATTTTTGAGCAGCTGGTACCCCTTTTTAAGAAAGTCATCTTTATTAGCCAACATTAAGGCCACCCTGCGGAAAGTCTGGTTCCCCGAGGGAAAGAAAGGCGACATCGCTCTCCATTTTTACTTTCTTACGCGAAATGGAGGGAGAAAGTAACGTGAAATGGACGGAGGATGCTCGGTTTCCCAGAAACAGGTAGCAATTCCATCACAAACACGTGGAATTTTTTTTCAATCATGTACAATTACTATTAAATAAAAATCCTATGAAAATGTTTAACGCGTCGTTTAACGCGTGGTTAATAATTCGTAAGTTGTTAAGTTGATTTGCGAGAATCAAGAAATTAGCATCGAACAGATTTGTTATATAAATTTATATAATAGTTAACCAATGAAATTCAAGAATTTTTTCTCTTACTTTGTAACATTTGTGATCTAGAGAAATGAATTTTTTAGAGGAACAGTCTAGGGAAATAGTTCAAAAATGACAATTCAATAACATTTACCTAGTAATTTTCCATGGCAAGTTTATGAACTTTATTATTTCACTTCGTACACGGATAATAATATTTTTAATTCAATGAATACAACATTTATCGATGTGTACGTGGTGCAAGTCGTAATTCCAATAATTAATACCGATTTAAAAGAATATCAATTTACATCACAGTGAAAACATTTTGGTGTTATGGCTACAAATCGATTCTGATTAGCGGCTACGTTGTCTAGTCAAGCATTAATCATGGACTCGTAGTTATAGCCGGGTGTCTCGAGGTCAGGGTCATGTTTAGCGTACACGGAGAAAGCGGGAAAAAAGAAACTGTGGTCGCCTTATCCAATCGAGGAGAAACGACTCTCGGGCGAAGAGAAAAAGCTGATTGGGACACGATCGAAGGGTGAAAAAGTTGAAAGAAAGTTAGCCTCTGTTTCTGCCAGGAAGGAAGAAGCTATTAATGAAACTTATCTTCAATTTTCACCAGATGGAAATCGAAAAGAGATATAATTGAGTCTAACTAGAATATTAACAGTAGTAATAACAATAAATAAATAGTAAGAATATATTTTCTAAAATAATATTTAGTTCTTAAGAACAAACAGAAAGAGATCGTTTCTTTATTTTTCCTCGAGATTTATCTCAATAGTAATGGCATATTTTTCCTATCTCATTATCAAAAAATAAATTTTAAACGCGTACATTATATTGATTTTGAAATGATCTCGAATGATTAAAAGATTATCCTTCTTTAGATAAAAGAAATATTTTGTACACTATCATACCAGTATATTAATGATACTATCATTGCCATTCTATTGCCTTTCTAAACTTTGTATGACCACGATTCTATAATTTTAATGAGATAATTAATAAAACTGGTTAGAATGTTAAATTGTGGTAATGAAACTGTACAACGAATAACAGAGATGTATGGAATTATGGTCACAATCCGGGACCAGTGAAAATTACAATGACAAGACGTGAAAGATAGATGAGGAAATTATGCATGATGAATACTATCGTTAGAATTATCGTTGGCGAGAAAACCGGGTATCATATTCATACTATCAGGAACTTCAGACTCACTTGACGACGATCATTGAATCCTGAGCAGCGCACGGCTCATAAAAATGCATCAGATCTCCCCGAGAAAGTTTCACGAAAGTCACCGTGGAAAAAGAGATTTCAGGATGATCGGTTGGCAAAAGTGTGTCACCAGCCGTCGAATGAAAAATAATTGCCTTATCAGAATCGAACAGAAGCTGTGCGAAGGTATGCGTTAGTAGCTCGTCGAATATACGAGGATTCCCCCAGATATGATCGTCTCGCTTGATTTATCGTTTCTGATACATCATGTTGATAGGAACAGAAATTTCCCTAAGATTTCTCATCGTCGTGATAATATTGACGCCATTTCGAGACTTGATGACTCTTTGAAGAAAATAATATAATGACAGAGTTCTCTTGTATGATAATTTATCGATTAATAATACTAGTGTATTAAATTGTTGTAAAGATTTTATTGCAGAATTTTTACGTCAAAGAAAATAAACTAATTATAGGTAATTTAGTATTTATTCAGAGAGAATCACAAGATATCCAACGAGGAGATTATTTCGAGAAGAACATTTTAGTTGGTCGTTATTCTTGAACCAACATCGAGCAATTTCTTTTTTCACGCGATTTTGCGTGCGCCAGGAATCTTGTTCTTGAGAATCGGTTTTAAACATTCTGGTTTACATTTAGCGACTCGTGATGTTCAATATAAAATTCGAGACGGATTCGAATGCTATCTAAACATTTCTCTCTGGTGGAAACGAAGCAATTTTAAATATAATTTTAATATTTTAGATAATCAAAATTACAAAAATTAAAAAAGTAAAAATAATGAGAAGAAAAAAAATAAATAAACTTGATATCTCACGTCACGCTTCTATCCTGATTGCGATTGTGTAAAGTGTAAAACACACTTGAGAATAGATATTTTATAATAACAATAAAGTGTTTTAATAAGAGAAAAATTGATGCATAATTTTCACAAAACTGTGACAAACTGATCTCACGGTAGATTTAGAGATATTTTATTTTGAGCGTGTGTGTATCTTGCTATAAGTATTCGCCCGATAAAAAGTAACTAGCGCTTGAAAAAGGTAACTAGAATCTAGTGAACAATCTTCGTATCTCATTTCGTAGTCACGTTTCTCATGTTTCGAAGAAGCATTCGATTAGATTGACCCAGTTCCAAAAGATCCACGGCTTACTTACCTTTGCCCCTCGTTCTAGAATCGATACGATGGTATTATATGTTCATGAAACTTGTGGTGGAAAGGTCCTTGAATGTGAACAACCTAGGTTACAGAGTGACAACGACCTTGCCACTCTGACATATCCTCGTGACACCCTTTTTCGATGTTTGTTTTTCCGCGCGTTAATTTCATTTGCGAAACTTCTGCAGGTTTAATTGAAATAATCTATAGAAACAAACGATCTTTTTTCATTCGAGGACGATCTAAATGCAGTCAAAATGTTTCTCCTCCAACCGATGACCCTTTTCGACATAGTGAGACTCCGTTTCCAAATACAGTCGGTAGATTCTCATCTATTTAATCTCTTTGTCAATCGTAATTGGCAGTGCTGGAACTTTATACAGGTCTCTGGTAATTTCTAATTTCACGACACCTGTACTATGATTCAAGAAACTAGTTAATGATAATCTCTGACGACTTAAGATTGGTTAAGATTAATTCGAGAGTACTTAATTTCGTTGGAATGATTTCATGAGTCAGGTTAGGATAAAAGTTGTCGATTCAAAATTATATTTTGCTTTGTTTAAGTTTAAGATAAGGAATTAGAATTATTAGGATAGAAAAGATTCAAGGATAGGGAAGGATGGTTCTGAGGCAAGTGCATAGCCTATCTTAGAGTTGCAGGTGAGTAGCCTGGAATCTCGGATGGCAACGACCTTGCCAGCCGGCGCGACGTGTCCTCGCGTTATCCTCTCTCGCCGCGGCATCCTGTTTACATCCCGGTTCACCTGACGGTAAATCGACTTCTCTTTTTCTCTTGCTCGTTCTACGGACATTATTAATTCACCAGTGTCGAGTTCGTTTCGCTTGTTGCACGCAGCAGCGTTCCAAGCGCTCGCTCCTCACTCTTTCCCTCGTTTATCCCCACCATCAACTCTAACGCGGATCTACTATACCAGCGGAAAACATTGGACTAAAACTATTTGCCCCGTTAAAAAATGGAATGCTGGTGGCTTCTTACCGCTTCCAGCGGTGGATAATCGTTAAGCATAACCATCCCTGTATTGGAGGTAACACTCCGGTTTTACCTGATTGCGTCTTGATCGTTTCCCGAAACAAAAATTCCCTAGAAATAGCAATTTATCTCTGTAAACTTTTTCGCGGCTTCTTCTTAAGGTAAACGTTAAAGTTCAATCGAAAGAACGAACGAGTCGTTTGTAAAACTGAAATATCTCCATTGCTCAACTTAAATGAAAGGAGAAATTTGAATAAAAAATTAATTTCATTATAGAAGCGAAATATTTGTGGGAGCGAAGTCCAAGGGAAGCAATTGGTTACATAAAGTAAAATAAACCGGGTTCCGTTCTTCGGGGAAGAGAAATTGAATCGTAAAGTCGTTCCGTGACGCGTTCAGCTCGTAGCTAACGCTGCGCGGACACGTAACACGTCGCGCGTAGAATAACGTAAGACGTAACGATGGTCCGCGGGGCTCGTACGGTAATACACCGCTCACGGTATGAAACACGATCCTTTCAGGTGAGCCGTGGTGCCCCGTGCACGTTCTCCGGCGTGACCTTATACACTCCACAGAGCGAACTTCTCTTCCGTAAAGAAAGCTCCAAGAAATCCCATACACGTGGCCGCTTATACCCGAGCGTCTCGAAACGATTTAAATACTAAATAGATATCGAAATCTGATTTTTCGATACTTGTGAAATTAAAATTTTTATTTTAAGCTTTTTCCAAGCTTTTAAATTCGTGGTTAATTGTTATAATAACAATGATTATTTTTTTTTAACTTGGACAAAAAATTTAACTTCTATCTTTCTTATCTTTTTCTCCTTCCCTTATGTTTTGTATGTTTTGTCATTGTAGCGATATGAGAAATTAATATTAGCATTGATGACAATTGAGATTAAATGTAATCATTTAATTCTTATAATTCCAAATGAGACTGTTAATTCTAGAATTATTTATAAGGTAGTATCAAGCGTAGAATATGTGCATAAATAGAATTTCTTTCAATTATACCTTTCATTTGATTTGATTATTAAATTGATTGTTAAATTTTTTATTCGCTTTCTGAGCTAGATCTTATTACGATTCTTCGTGGAATTATCCTTGGAAAAGTTTTGGGATATGATCATTTTATAACGGTGATTATTATTCTTGAAAGTCATCTTCGATAATTAATCTTTGAGCCGTATCAATTGGCCCACTTGTTCACATTTTGATCCTTCTCTAGTTCGATTGTCGTTGACAATCAATTGTGTTGATCAAGGAGATTCCACGGATCGTTAAAAAGTCTTCCTCGAATTTCCTGCTCGAATGATTTTATGAATAATGATCTCGATTCAGAAGAGGAAAAAAAGAATCGATACGCATTTTTCCTTACATGGTCAAAAATGTTGAAAGATTTTTTTTTCTACAGAAAGATCAATACACATTTAAAACAATTCTTATTCTTTTTCTTTCTCTTTAATATTGATCACAATATTGATTCATGATTGAATTTTAGTTAAATTAATGTGATTTTTCTTAGTAACAATTTGCTATCATTTGTTCATTTAAATAAATAGACAAAAAAAAAAAAAAAAAGACATATTGAGCATCATTTTATGATTATTCCAACGTAATTTATAAAAATTAAAAAGTTTTTTGCGCATAAGAAAAAAAGATGACGCGATACTGTTACGTGATATCGTTCTTACTGTTGGTATGACTGGTGTGTGCGTGCGCATACGCATCTGCATACAAACATGGCTGAAACGGCTCTACTGAAACGAGCTTGGAAAGATCGGAGATTGCATTCCTGGCAAGGGCGTTCGCAGGTTATATTCCCTTGAAAGAAACACTGAGAAAAGGAAATAAAGGTGGTGCGCTTGAAGGTCTCTTTGATCTCGTTTCTCATATACCTGTTTGACGTTTCTTTTGCGGCGTCTTCAAGCTTTCTCTCGTTTTTTACCTCTTTGTTGATTTTGTCTTATAGCTGGAAAATATTTGTAATTATTCTTAGATTATGTACTTTTTTTTTTTTTGATAATTATTTCTATCTTATCTCTGTTCTGTTTGTTAAAATGATAATTGTCATTTTTTATTGTACTATTATTATTATTATTCTTTTTTTATTTTTTGTTTATTATCTTTAAGATATATGAAAATATTAACGTATGGAATACATGAACAGTATATAACTTGTTTATGAGTATGCTATATAATGCATGTATCTCATTTTTTGCTAATATTAATTGCAAATCAGTCTTGTAGCTGCGTCGTTTTTAATTTTTTCATCTTAAATATTTCCTTCGCTTGCGTTTTCATGTATATCTCATTCGATATTCAATGAACGAGGCATGTAAAACTCCCGGAAAATTTTCTATCATAATTAAAATATTTCATTGAAAATAACTTATGCAATCAATTCGAATCGAATATTTCGAAAGAAAAATATTTCTAACATGATTCATAAACTTCAGGGATTTACGAGGATATACTTTCTACAGTTACGTAGAAATTTTTATTCCTGTGTCACGTACCATTTATTCCCATTGCATTTTAACTTTTACCGGATTCCTCGATTCTCCTCAGTAATTTCATTGAAAAACTTTAATTTAAATTATTCCTTTTTATAAAAAATTTTCACAAAATTAATTGTTGTCGTATACATTATACATAATTAAATTTCAGGTATTCAAAAATCGAAAACAATTTTTTGTAGGATAAATATAATTATAAAAAGTGAGTTTCAAGGAATTCTAACGTTAATTCTTAAAAATTACTAGACTTCTGAAAAGTAACTAGCCTTTATTTTAAAAATTTTGCCTATATTTAAAATAAAAGAAAATAAAAATTTTACTTTTATTTTCTAAATAAATTTAAGATTTTAATATTAAGATATGTATATATTACAAAAGTTTAATGAAGAAAATTAAAATATCTTTAGAGTTTAGAGACTAATTTATCTGTATGCTAATGCAAACACACATTACAAAATGCTGCATCGTGGAATAAATTATCTCTTTCCACGACCCTGATCGTGCGCAAATAATGCTATAGATCACTTTGCGTCACTGGAACGACAATTACAGTCGTTTGAGGATGCAACATGCGCAGAACAGGTGATGACACTCGTCGACAATCTTCTGCTAGATATGTTCTAGACATATTTCATCTTTTCCTGGAAATATATTATGAAATCCAATATATCATACAAAGCTCATACTGAATTATAAATCAAATGGGATATTTCTAAAAGCATGATAAATATGATAAAATGAATTTTAAAGAACTTAAATGACTTAAATTAAAAAAGAAATATTATTAATTAGAATCATTCTATAATTATTTCTGTATCAATCTGCGATTTAATTAAAGATGAACGATTATTTAATCAACTAGAATCATTTTATCGGATCTTAATCAGAAATTTTTTCACTTTAATGCAATTGAGAAACAATAATTCTAATTAATTTAAGTTTAGAATCTAATTTATGGAAATATAAGTAACATTGATATAATAAAATTAATATAATTATTTAAGCAATAAATCTAAAGAAATAAATCTTTATATTTAAAGTATCGATTATTCTAAAGATGTTTAACTATATATCCTCAGTTTACATGAACTCTAGATGAATACTAGTATATTAATTTCATAGAATTAAACATATGAATAATCCTCGCAAAATCCAAATCGGAGACAAAATAAATGGAAACAAAAAAAAAAAGGCGGTGGCATTGCAAGGTTGCTAGCCAAGTTTTGCAATCGTGATTGTGATGCAATCGGACTCCGGAGTCTCGTCGCGACATTGAAACCAATTCAGCTTGCGTTGTTCAGTGGAAGCTTTGCTACGAGTTTATTTCGAATGACGATTATTATTATATACGGAAGATTGTAGCTTCTTCGTCACAAATTCTTGTTGTCTTTCCTTGCCTTCTTTTTCTTTTATCTGTGTTACGAACTGGAACCATGGATGCCTGAAGAATGGTCTTAACGACTTTCACGGTACGTGCGTTTCTTTGTTCTCATTTAACTTCTTATTCCCTTTTCTATGACTATCATATTTGCCAACTTCTTTGTATTGTACGAATTATGTATACGTATATTCGACTGTGATATTTCAACGAGCCATTTTTAATTTTGGTGACTAAAATAAGAGTAATCATAGAGTTAAAAATAGAAGAAATACGAGAGTTAAAATTGTTATTTTTAAAAGGAGAACTATTATTTTAATAATAGTAAAACTAAATAGTAACCGGTTTTTCTTAGTACATTTGCTATCTTAACATAACATAAGTGTTGCTAACAATAAGTAAAAATCCTTAAGGCTTTTAATTACAGTGTATTTAGGTTCGAAAATGTTCAAACATCGACAAGCAAGAATTATATTATAGAAGTGTTAATTGGTGGAAGAACTCGTTACATAATTTATCATGGACTATTAATGGCGAGAAACAATAGTATTCGTAACTTTCTCTTTTGTGTGCGATGAGAATTGGCAGGATATTGATCGTGTATTGCATATAAAGATATTTATGCACTTATGTGATATTGTTGGATCAGAAATTACATAAAAATACAAATTTTCTGTTTGATGTGTAACAAAATTGCTATAAAAATTTATTTAAATAAAGAATTTCGCGAAATCACAAATCAACTTGAGTTTTCGTATTCTCTATTTCAAAAAGAAGACGTATATGAGACTTTAGTGACTAATTGATAAATGACTATATTGTCATCGAACAATATCAGGAGAATCTCTTCAGAAAAGTTTTGGCAACATTTTAAGTTAACATTTTCTAATAATAGCTCGGTATTGGAACTTCGAAGAGAATATTTTTCGAGACAGAATTCTAGAAAGTGATTCACTACATATGTCGCCATGGCGAATTCCAAGAAATAATAAACGTATTAACTGAACCGGATAATTGCAGTATCATGTTTCGTTGCTTCGATACTGAATTTATCTCCGTGGCGATACACATGGTGTCCATTATGAGCGTACCATATCTTGATTCGTGGAATTTATTTATCAGGTGTCGATTTTTTCATACAATAGCATCTTTATCCATCGCTTCTTCGATAAATAAAAAGATTGTATTGTATATGTAATTCAATATTACGTTGATCTCAATTAATCATTGATTTTATTTAAAAAAATATATTTTTAAATAATAGAAGAATTTTGATGAATTTGAAGGAAGATAAAGTTACAAGATATTTACTGCGAAAAAAAAAAATAAATAAGTTGCGACTTATTCAAGAATCGCCAAGTCGTTGATTCTCCAACTTGTGACGCAATATGGTAGAGGGCGTAATATGATTGTTTTAACTAACCTAACCTTATATTTTCCGTTTTTGTAGTTTTTCATAATAATGGTCTGCTTCGAAGATTCTTCGATAAACGTGTTGATTTTTATTGGATTAATCCTCGAATATTCTTTGTAATCCTATTAACCTTTCACAATCGTATCATTCCTTCCCACCAAGCGAAAGATTCCACTCGATAAACGAGCACAACTTCCGCCTTGATAATTTCCATCCAAGCTCTATCATCTCTCCGATTTAACGAAGAAAGTTATTTATTGACTATTCTCCTTATACTTTTTTTACTTTTTACGATCGACTCATATCATTGACTCGCATGAATTCTAATCGGTTTTTTACATAATATTTCGAGTAGAATTGCGTGCAAGGAATGTATCGTTGCGCTTCTTCTTACATGGTTGAAAGGCTTTGCCTGGTTTCCGTCGATGCAACCAGTGCACACGATCCTCGTAAATCAACCTGTTTTTAGTCATCCTATCGTTAATCGGACCTGTTCTTGTCTTTTTACGATATTAGGAGGCTTTGGAGCAAAAAACTTGGTCGATGAACCTGGAACAAGTTAAATGATATAGTCTTATGAAAAGAGATTTTAGATTCATATCAAGGTTCGAATAAATGTAAGGTTATATTAGATCTGTGTTAATTTACGTGGTGATTAGATTGGAATGTTTAAGATATTTTCATACTTGATTCGAACAATCAGTGATTATTAGTTTTTTTTAAATCTAATGAGATAATAACTTGCAAACTTAGGCAATTTAGACATTATTGTGAAATTTTTTTGCATTATATATCAGAATATAATGTATTTTTTTTTACATAATTATAATGTTATTAGTAAAATTTTACGAATTACAAGTTATTAAAAAAGAATCTTGTATAATTAATTTAATAAAAATGAAATCTTACAGTTCATCATTATATTTGAAAAATATGCTTAAATAATATGTTGAAATAAATCTATAATTTACAACTTATCATTAATATTATTAAATAATAAATTATTATAAAAAAAATTATGAAATTATAAGAAAGTTTATTTTCATCTTTTTGTTTTATCATGTTTGAATATATTGGTTACTAATAATTTTATTCTCTCTGTTGCAGGTAAGTCAAAATCTTGGTCAGATGGCTGAAGTAATCTATTTTCAGTTTTGGGATTTAAAAGAAAAGATTGTAAGTTAAAATTTAATAAAACTGACAGAGTTATTAGAAAACGTTATTCGAAGAATAAAAAATTGATTTCTATTGAATCTATTCATTTATGATCATTCAAATAGATCATAAAAAAAAAAATAATTTTAAATACAATGTATCATTATATAAAAAAAATTCATAATTTGACGAAGATTTCTCTGTATTAACAATTCGAGCAGTTTTTTGATTATAAACAATTTCTTATTACACTATCATTATGTAACTTTAAATTGGAGAACGAAAGTTGTGGGAGTGGAGAAGTGCGATATAGATTAACATTACGAGCCAGTCGAGTCCACTTTCTCGCATTAAGGAGAACTAAGTTTACAGATATACACAAGGTGGCCATTAATTAAGTCCAAATTTATTTCAAATTAATAATTATAGAGTGATTGTTTATACTCTTCATACTTATAATAATTTTTGAAATTAATAACATTCAATATTTATTATTCAACTTCTATTAATCTTAGAAATAGAGGAAGGAATCTTCAAATCCATTTCAGTTATCAAGGTAAACCTGTTTATTATAAATATTACGAAACTTGATTCATTCTTCTAATAGTTAATTAAATACTTGGATATAATTGATATATATAATTGATCTTTATTATAAAAAAGAGATGAATGAAACCTATAATTAAAATCTTCAACTATGTTTCAGAAATGCATTTATTAATTCAGAATTGGAAAGCTAATATAGCTAGACTATGAAAATTAGTAGATCCATACTAATTCAATACTTGTTACTATTATCTGATTAAACTTAAGTGATGTTCAAAATCTTGATGATTTTCAAAATACATGTAAAATAACCAATTTATTGATGAAGAAACTAATTTATAAAATCATATAATAATGGTGATTTCTAGTTTGCTAAATTACTAATGGTAACATTACCTTCACTTGAAGTCACTAATGAATGTTGCAAAAAAAGAATGGCTGAAGAAACTATTTCTTTTTTTACTTGGCCTAAAGTAAAAGTGAAAATTGCTTACTGTTAAGCAAAAACTTCAAACGTTGAAATTGAAAAAAAAGATGAGGAAAAAGATTTTTATTTCCTCAAAGAAGTGTTGCAAATGGAATGTTTGCATAATTCTTGGCACAGAACTAAATCAGGAAAAATTCATATTATGAAAAGAGAAAATCCTTATTTAGACAACTTGTATAAGCATATGCATTAATTTTATTAAGAAATATGTTGATCCGTTTTTAATTATAATTTTTAAATTAATTTTAATTTTATAATTGAAATAATTCTCAAAAAAATAATAAACTTATCATGGCGAATTAATTTTCAAAATCAGTTGTCTGACTATTCAACTATTTTCTATTCATCCAACATAATATTATTAGGAAAATCAGAAAATTGACTTTATTAACATTCTTGTCTTCCATTTGAATCAATCAGGTAACATCTGAAATTCTAACATTTATTTATTCAATCTACTGATCTTATTCTTTCGCAGTTAGCGTGTTAGCTACCCAATTCCATGTCATTAGTTATCAAGAAAGCTGTTTTTAAAAACGATAATAATAGAGATAGTTCTATTGGAAACAAGAACAAAGATAAATTCTAGAAATATTTATAATACTCTCATGATCATTATCATTCTCTTAGTTTGTTTTTTCTTCTTTTTATTTTATTTTATTTTTATTTTTTTACTTTTCTTTATACGTTTCTAGTATAAATTTGATCAATCTTTTAGATCTCTTCCAATTCTAAAATTCTATTTAAAAATTTTTTTTTGTTTTCCTTAACTTCATTTTGATGAATTATAATCTATTAAGGATTACACTATTTTATTTATTGTTTAATTTTACTTTCAAGTTTCTCTTTTACTTCTTCTTTTCGTTTTCAAAATCCTTTTATGTTTCTCAAACTTTTTCTTTTCGCACTTTTTCTGAATTTTTCTATGGCAATGTCTACGGCAATAATTCTCTAGTCTTGACGACAATCTCATTGCTCTTCAATTATGCGTCAGATTCATTAGACTTGTAACCATTTCTATGCGAGTGTGCGTGTAACGCGCACGCGTGATGCAGACGAGCAGCCTCTGGAGAAGCTCTCTCCGAGGAGGTCGCGAGCAAGGCCACGTGGGGCGTTGCCCTCATGAGTTCGATCTCGAGCTTAGTTAAATGTGGCTGGTTATTCGCATATCGATGACTGGTTCAGGATCGATCTATTGGGTGTCTTGATTTCATCTTCTGTTCAACTTTTGTTTCTTCATGTCAATATATCAAATAATTTTCTTTAATTAATCTTCATTTTCTTAATTAATACAAGCTTGGTCTTTTTTGACAACGTTAATTGGATGAAGAAAATTAAATCTTCTAAAAAAGGTTATTTTTGATTTAATTCGTCTGAAAGTTAATATATTTTGAGAACATTAGAGTTACATTTTTGTCATGAAACTCAATTAGAATTCAATCCATGCAAACATTAAGCAATAATCTCATTGGTTATTTCAATGAGTACAGCGATCATAATCTGAAGGTCAAGAGCAACGCATTGAGAATAATGATTCGTCCGAGATTAAAAGTGTATGCTAATAAGTCGCGTAGGTGTTATTGTTTGAAGACTAAGAAATATGTAGATGTCAATTGTTCTTGTGATACATAATTATGCTGTTTACAACCTTGTTACATGAATCCATGATTAAAATATGTGTATTTTACTTATAAATAATTTTATGAAAGATGAAACATCATGGAAACATTATTCGTGTATTGCAAATATTGTCAATTGGATGAAGACATGTTTATCAATAAGATATGAAAATGAATATATTTTGAAATTTATAAAACAAAAATTGGAATCAATATTAAGATTGATGATGAAACACTCAATTATCTCTCAGTTATGTAGTTTTTTATGATTACTTAGTAGTTTTGGAAGAAACTTTGAGAAACATATCTGCACAATGTATTCGAGTTCCCAGAGAAACATTCTGTGACGATCAAGTTACTCATGGAAGTTATGCAAGTGAATTATCATCTTCTTAAAACAATAGCTGCCATTTCCTGCTTCACAAAAGCTTAATAAACTAGGAACATAAAAGAAATAAATAGTTTTTACCTGTTGAAATAGCATATTATTACTTATGCATTACTTACGTATTACTTATGACGAAAATCAAAGGCAAAAAGATTGTGGATGTAACAAAAATAATTTTTTGTCAATATCTATTCCCATCAAAAGTATGCAACAGATAGATTAACAAAACTGTGTGTAATAAAGAATATTTAGAATACAGTAGTCAAAAATAAGACAAAAATAAATTCTTATTTTTAATGTGATATCCATATACGCATACATTGTGATTGTTTTTTTTATTGCAACATTATAAAATTTACATACAATATTTTGCAACAATATTATGTCATGCTGCAAATTGGATTTAAATGTGGTAACTTGGGGAATTTTTATATAATTTTTTTTTCCCGTTAGTTACATCAGATGCAAATATGTTTCAACAAGTATATGGAGAAAGGAATACCACCTATTTATAGAGCTGAAAGATTATATGTGATATAAATGGCGTTTAAAATTGCAAATCCGATTCTCGATGTAGCCACAATTTTATATTCAATTGTAACAGTGAGGAAAACGAACGCTTGGAACGTTATTATTGATTCACCGACTGCCGGGAGTTATATAAATCTATGGCGTATTTTATTTTCCATAAAGCGTTTTCTGTTACTTTCATTTAAAGAAACCAAGCAGAACATATTACACATAGGAAACGAATTTATTTTTTACGGATGGACTGATCAAGATATGTGTCAGTATGAATAATTTACAAATTGAAAAAATTAATGCAATTCACCAGGGAATCTGTTGTCAAGAAAATCCACGAATTTAAATGAATTTACATTAATTTGAAAATAAAGAAATTATAACTAATCTATAATATTCTAATAAAAGTTTGAGGATCTGCTAGATATTATTTTAAAAAATTAATGTGAAATTAATATAATTACAATATAATATCATAAATCTGAATTTTTTAATAAAAGAAATCTTATTATAACTATATGTCATAAAAGCAACAGAATAATCACGAAAATATTGATCCAGTAGAGGAAAAAAGTTCAGAAAGAAAAAGTATGGAAGAAACGCAAAGTACCATGATCGCATTATATGGATTGACCCTAATATCATCATTAGATTAAACATTGTAATTTGACAAAATTGTCTCCTTACATCACAAAACGACGATTACGTTAGTTGATATGGTTCAACAAGTAGTTTCGCGAATGCTTATATTTCATGCAGCGATGGCAATTCATTTCTTTTCTGCAAGAAAGTTTTTTCGATGTTCAGTGAACCAGATCGCTTCGTATGTTATTTGAAATGGATAGTACTGATCATTTTAACGCTAAAAAGTATTATCTTCAATGAAAAAATAGTGTAATCTTTTAAAATTATACTTAAGAATTGATTCCTGATTATTAATGGTTTAAGAAGTCTTTGTCTTACCATAAATTTCTATTCAAAGGTAGTAATCATTGGAAGACATTTGGAAAAAGGAAATTGAATTTAATTATGGCGTCGAATGTTCTTCAGAATGTATAGTATTTGGTAGCTATTAACACTGAAAAGTATTACCTTGTGAGTATCACTATTACAATTATTCGAAGGCAATATATGAGAGAATAAAAAGAACCGAGTGCATTGGTAAAGAGCAATCGCGTCTTCTTTGGTATTACGCGTATTGCATAATCGTATGTTATGTAATTTGCTCATAAACGGAGGAAAGAACGAAAAGGAAAAAGGCGAACGAGAGAGAGATCGATCGAGAAAGGTCTTTGAGAAATCTCTGGTAACAATTTTTTCTTTGCTAATTACAAATAATAAAAATTTAATTCGAATGTCAAATATCTATTTATTTTTGGGTGTATATGTCTAGAATTAGAAGCATGGATTAAACATTAAAATGATCATTTAAAAAAACAAGTATCAAAATAATCAGTTATAAAAGAAAAATGCTATAATAATTTCTTTGCATAATAATTATTAAAAGGTATGTAAATATGTGTATCATATGTTCATATATATGTAATAATATATGTATATAATAGTATAATATATACCATACATATAATGATGCAAATATATATATATATATAATATATAATGGTTCAACTTTAATTACTATACTGTATTATTATATACATTGATTACATAACACAAAAGAGAAGAATATAAAAGAGCCAATTTATTCTCCTCCATCTTTTATGATTCACTTAAATGATTTGCATAGGTTTGGCATATATATGGTTTATATTTCATTTATGAATTATGCAGACTAAAATATAATATAATAAAAGATGTATTTGTCAATTTTATTATTGAATCAAGTGTCTTTAAAAATTTTCACATAATACATGTAATATATCTAATATTAATATTAAATAATATATATCTATAATAAAAGTGTATACAAAAGGTTATAAAATAATATTATCAATCTTATTTTAATAGAATTTTAACAAAACTGATTTTAATTATTGTTATATCATTTAATTCTAAATAAAGATTCATTAATCTTATAAAAATAAATAATAAAAATTAGTTTCAAATTGTACATGATAAATAACAGATTGTACAGATAATAACACTAGATAATTTTAAGTTAGAAATAAAATCCTAAAGAGATCCTAGGGAGAAAATAATTTCAATTTCTATAACAATCATAAAATCGACTAACATGCCTGATTCAATAATTATAATTCACAAAGAATATATTATTCCTTTCAGAATCACAAATTGAAAATCATATATTATTACATATCAATTAATGGAATTACAAAATAATTAACTATTAACTAGCAAGCTAATTTTAACTAAACAAATAATTGATTTGATTTTAATTTTTGATGATAAGTTTCGCTCAAAAAATTTAGGGATATTTTTCTAATTGTATTAGATGATTTAATATTATTCTTTGTTGATTGGAGAATCTTCGTTGATTTTAGTAGCGACCTATTTTCCCACATATTTCCCACCATTCACTTTGCTACCAATCGAGACCAATCGTGATTTGTTATCGCAAATCGATCAGTGGCCAATAGTAATAGAAACTTTCTTGATATCGTAACAATCGATCCTATAGTTTCACGACGGTTATCGATAGTCGTCTAGAGACGAGGCTAGAAATCTCCGCT